CATTCGTATTTGCTCGGTTCACATACACGCCTAGTCTAAGAGAACGAAGTAGACATTCCTAGGATGAACCAGCCTGGCTCCTGTCAGGCGGCACACCCGAGTCGGAGAGGCCACGATATGCAAATACCAGACAAGGCGGCTGGTCATACGAGTACTATGGGACAAGAAACGAAGCAGTAGTGATGACAATCATGGTGCTAAGGAAATAGTAGTTGCAATCTTTTCGGAGACAGGTAAGCTCCTGGCTTCCGCAGCGACATCTGCGAGTGGCTACGGGACTTGGGCCAAGCTGCTCGTAACATGCACTTGCTTTGGGGCTGGGTGTTTCTTGGAGGGCGTTTTTTCCACAGCATCTCTGCTGCAGAGAGCCTCTTTGTGGCAGGCTTTCACTGGGTTTCTTCGCACGGTTTTGGGGCCAGGATTTACAAGGCGGCACCTTCCCTTATGTCTTCACGACAGCGAGGCCTGCTGCTCTTTCAATCTCTGCCCCGTGCCCATCATGCACGTAGCGAGTCTTCTGCATTTCTGCAATCTCATGGCACGTCGGCAGGCGAAGACCAACTGCAGAGAGCCTGTCAATGCCAAAAGATTTCAGCAACACTCCTTTTTCAAGAATCGCCCCAGAAGTCTCCCCTGCCGGCAGAATGGCTCGTTGGCTCAGACTGCTGCCAATCCTCCGCTCAACAGTCAGTCAAGTTGTGCGTTCTGGCTAGCTCTGCCTACGCTGCTCAGTCTTCCCTGCTGCTGTCGGATGACTCTTGCAGGGGTCTGCAAGCACCATGCTACTCTTACTACTTACGAACGCGAAGCCTCGTGCGGTAACCACGACTGCTACTATGACTTCGACGCTCTTGCACTCCTGCTGATCCTCCTTACCCTGAATACTATGAAAAAGCGTTCTGGTGGATACTTCCGTGAATAACAGCACTCACCTCCAGTTGGATGCGAGTTACTATCTTCTTTCTCGCTGGCATTTCCAGTATGGTCAATTGCTGATTTGCATGTGTAGCATCATGGCCACTAGCACTTTCATGTTGCACTTTTGCATCCTCATCCACGTCAGCCTTTTCGTTCTTGCCCCGGCTGCATGTCTAATTCAGCTCATTTGTACTCAGGCTGCTATCACTTTGCATGGGGGGACCCTAAACCCTAAACCCTAAACCCCTAAACCCTAAAGGGGTGCTTAGCTCTACTGAACTAAGCCGTGTCCTTCCGAGGCCACCAGTCGCGGCGCCTGTCCCTGTGATTCTCCCATCGCTGGTTGCCATTTTGACCCCAGCCGTCTCGATCTCGATACTTCTGTCCATGCCAGTCCTCAAAATTACATCGACGGGCCGACGGGTCGAAGGGCTGAAGGGCTTGATGTCAGGGAGTGGTGCTTAAGCGCCTAAAGGCTGATCTAGAAGTAGTGTTTCTGCCTGGCCCTTGGTATAATCCATGTACTTCAGGCTGGCATTCACTTTGCAGAAGTGGCTTTCCAAATCCGAAAGCCAGCGCCGTCACCCCGACACCTGTGACTCTGCTTTTCGGTCTATGACTGCTCGATGTCGGGTCCTTATGTTAGGCGGCATGTATCCAGCGTTAATCAGAGAAGCCTGGCCTCGTGAAGTAGACTGAAGCTGGCTGAATCGAATACTACAGTTACAGTGTAGAGGGCAGGGACTTCCGCTCCCGGAACCGGCCTTTGCGGTTTGATGTAGGGTCTGGGGAGCTTCGACCGAAGGAAACCCTACACTGTGTAGCTGTTGCGTTCTAAATTCCCGGGTTGATGCTCATTCTGCCCTGCCCCTCGGCTAACTCGGAGCCGAAAGCTCAAGACTCAGAACGCGGCCTTGTCTTCCCACCAGTTCTGCTTGGCTTCTTCCTGCAAGAAGACTCCAGACAGCATGAAGCAGCTTTGAATCCTTGCATGCCGGCGATGCTCCTTCTTGGGTTGCTCTTGCTCCTCCGGCTTCCGCTCCCACATCTCCTTTGCCAGGCCTGGTCGGAAGGCTCGCAGGAACCCTCAAACCCAGTCTTTAAAAGACGAACCTGCGCACCTGGCTCACTTTGCTCTGGAACCCTCCACAGACCTCCTCGTGTTAGCCGGGGCCCCGACGCTTCCAAGAGCCATCCTGGCATGGGCATGACAAGACAGGATCTCAATCTCGTGCAAAGCTGCCGAACTTCCCTTGAACTCCTCAACGGAAAGATGCCAAGCTCTCTTGCTCAGACTACGAACGACCATGTGATCCTGTTGAACTGAAGGCCACAGGCAAACAAGCCTGCCACGGATCTGTCTCTTCCGCAGGCTCCGCAGGCACCAGGCTCTGGCAGAAGCTGGGGAGACGGGAAACTTTGAGGTCAAGTGGACTTGCGGCTTAGAGTCCTTTAGAGTTACGGAAGTCTTGGCAGAGAAACACCTCAGAGTGCATTCATGGCAGCATGCACTCGCCTCCATGGGGACGCGGCTAAGATCCAGGAGGAATACCCAAATGTCCTCCTTCGGAGACATGTCGTCCTGCGCAACAGGCTCTGCCATGCTCTGCCCAGTCTGCACCCGAAGCGGTACAACCAAGCCTGTCATGAAGCCACATGTCATGAACCGCCGAAGAAGGGAGAACAAGGCGAAATGGTCTATTGAGTCTATTACAAACTGCACTCTGATCGAGCGCACTGAGTGACTCTGTTGGCTCTTTTGCAAATTTTGCCAAAGCAGTCCACGTTCAGCCACAATGTCTCGTTGTTGGACAGCAAGAACTCGAGTTGCTTGCCATCCTGCGACGTACGATTTGCAACAAAGACACACACACACACACACACACACACCAATACGAGTTACGGGCCCCGCCGACAAAAGGAAACCGTCGCAAGCAGAGGACACGCGAAAAAAAAGGGGCGAGACGAGGCAGACATTTGCAAAGCGTCCTGGCCAACCGACTTCAGCCTCGTTGAACTTAGGAGCCCCTGCATTCGAGCCTTTTCTGACCTTGGCTGAACTGAGACATTTCGGGCATGTGTAATCGCAACTGCTACAATCCTACGTGCATAGTACACTGGGTAGGTATAGGTCATGATGAACGGAAGGCCTTTCGGTGAGGGGTGGTTCGACACTGCAGCTCACATTCTCAGTCTCAGCGCCGTCAGCACACAAGTGCGTAAGCACAGGGCCAGCGCACCAGAGCACCAGTCAGCAAATGGACGTCTTCCTTGCAGAAAGCCTGGCAAATTTCTTACCCTCGACCCGCGGGACGGACTGACCCAATCTCAGACTGGGCAAGCGCTTCACACCGATGCGGCCAGGCACGATCTCCAAGGAACCGTCCACTACTCGCTAGCATGGGCAGCTGCACACTGCACACGTGTTGAGAGTATTCGTACTACTTTAGGAATGTTCAATCGGCTCTCATTCTCTATGCTAGTAACATCTATTAACATCTAGTGAATTTCCAAGCCGCGCCTCAAGGCTGGAGGCACCAGCATTCGACCAAGCAAACGCCTGGCATGTCGGATCATACTTCCGGCGCCTCTTCGGGGACTTTCGTGTGCTTCCAAAAACACGGAAGGGAACACAATCGTGTACTTCCAAAAACACGGAAGGCTGCATGCATCTGGCATGCCAGCGGCCAGCAAATCCCAAACCTCAAAGCCTCACAGCAAAAAGCAACAGCCGTCGCTGGCGGCTGCCGCGCCTTCGCGGCCTCCATGTCCTCTAGGCCTGTCAGTTGTCGCAGGAAGATCCACAGATCCTGGCGAGGTGTCAAATGTCACGGCAATGTTTGGAGGCATCGCATTTGATATCGTTTGGGCCTATCTCTGACCGCTCGGGAAGCCCATCCCCATCCAGCAGGGCTGGATTCCCCAGCGACCAGCTGATTGAACCGGCTACACAAGAGAAGGACCGACACACACAAACACGCAGAGCTTCTGACTCCGGCAATGGTAAAGCCTGTGAGGGATTTCCGAAGTAACGTTGTCTGGGTAGCAAACTTGAGCTGCAGGAGCGGCAGCAGCTTATCCCACGCAAGCCTAATTGGCATCAAGCGACCACGAAAGGACCTTGACCGGAGAACCAATATCTGTACGACCGGCAAGCCGGCAAGCCCAAACCCCGTTTCACCTGCGAACATCATGTGCGTGTCAGAAATGACAAGTCCAGCAGCCTCCTCTTCTTTGGCGTCATGCAAGCCGAGGTGCAGTCGTTCTTAGCCGAGCACTGCAGGTTGAAGCATACTTGTTTCTCGGGTTGCAGGTTTTTGGGTCTAGCAGGTCCTTCACCATTCTAACTCCCCCACACACCGATCTTGCAAACACCCGTGCGACATGCAGGCCGCGATCCTCTGGAGTCTGGCGGCTTACGGCTTCACGTTAGTCGTAAGAGAGAGCAGCCGATGACATCATCGTAGCCACATTGACACTACTAGTAATACTAATAATCAGAATGCGAATAATAATCACAATACTAATAATAGACATAATATATGATGATAATAATGAGAAACAATATATGAGAATACTATAACAATACTAAAAATTAATAATACATTCCAATGTCGCATCCTAGGAAAGGCCAAGGCTTGAGCCGCCGGTCTCGGGGAAGTACCACTCGTAAGACCTTTTCTCCGGAGGCGCCTTCCAGAGCAGACTTCTAGCTGTTCATATTCGTATGCATCATTGTTCGTCGTATTAGCATTAATATCACCATTGTTGGTAGTAGTATTATCACTCTTCTGGTTACTATTTTTGTTAATATTATTTCTATTTGTTCTATTATTTCTATTTTGTAGTAGTAGTAGTAGTAGTAGTAGTAGTAGTAGTAGTGGTAGTAGACTTCACGGTCACAGGCTCTAAGGAACCACTGCCAATCCCGATGCCAGCTCGCGGTAGTCCGAGCATCTGGTACACTCACGCTGTCAATACTGGTGGCTGGAGCAAGGGTCATGTAAGATGCATCCGAAGGGGGCTGGTATTGACACAGCGACAGAGCTTCGATAGAGTATTTTCAATGTTGCCACTTGGTTACTGCTACTACATGCTGCGAAGCGGAGTACCCCGCACATCACCAATGCCTCCGGTTTGTATTTTTGCGTCCACTGCGAGCAGACAGGCGACCTGACGGCAGCCAGGAACTTCCACACCAACATAACGCGGTACTATAATCTACTATGGTATAATATAGTGGACCATAAAATTCTATCGCACGATGTGTTGAAATGTGGGGTTTCTCGTTTCTATTGTAGTCATAAATCATTGCTGAAGGAGGATTTCAACTCATGCTGCCAAGGGTCGTCACTTTGATGCCATGCTGCCTGGCCTCGCATGACCGAATTCCGAGGTTCGGCCAGGAGCCGAAGACCAAGGGGTGTACACGTGCTAGAAAAAATAAATAATGATAGCGTGCGAAACAAATACTCGCATAGCCGGACAAGAACTAGTGCAAAATCTTAATCTGGAAGTGCCAACTGTGCTATTGCTGAGTACGAGTCGTCGAAGGGAGGTAAGCACAGCAGCAAGTTAATCACCGTAGCTGCTTCCATGCTTCTGGTATTACTCAGCATGCTCGGTTGCTGCTATTGCGATTATGAACCTGTTGTGTGATGGGCAACATACTGCAACGTTACACATCAACATGACTAAAAAGGGAAGTGTTATTGATGGGCACACCAGTGGTTCGTCATTTGCATCTTGCCGATTGCAGGCTATGGCCATACCGTGCAACTCTACTTGGAAGCGCCCTGTGCCTTCTGAGAGAACCGCAGGTAGAAGGAATTGATCAGCAAAGTCTCCTGCACCCGAGCCGGTGCAACGTTGTCAAAAGGACTGACTACGGTTAGCACGTCGGGTCTGATATGAAGTGTTGCACCGAAGAGAAGCATTTAGCACTTTTAATTGGAAGATGCATTCATCAGAGTTCTTGTGTTGCAAAGATTGAGGACAAAGTTGAAGCATTACAACAAAAATGAGGCCAATCACCAACCGCACCAACCAACACATCATCGTCAGAAGCATCGTCAGAGCGATACTACCATCAAGCTCCTGGTATTTTGAGGAGCGACGAACACGCCTCTTACCAGTTCGGAACTCCTGGAACCGGTTCATCAACAAGCTCCCGAGCCTCTGCCGACAGGATCCTTGGACATTTCCCCTTGTAGCGCCTTGGAGGAGAGGAAGCTTCATATGGGAGTTTCCGAAAACAAGGCGTACCTTATTTTGGGGCCCTTATAATAAGGATTCCACTATTTGGGGTACTATATTAGGGTCCCCTATTCTCGGAAATCCCCATATACACGGAAGAAGGCTCCCGAGGCCAGCGCACATCGCGAATGCGTTCCACGAAGTCCATCTTGGTAAAGATGGTCCTGACAATCTGCGATCCAGGTAGCACCCCTACGATTGAGAAAAAGGAGCTCCTGAAAGCCACGGCATTGACTGTGGCCGGCACTGGATCCGGATTGGAGTCCTGCTGTTGACGACGGGATCTACTCACGGATCGCTTGAACACTATGACCCACAAACATCTACAAACTGGCTTCCCGCGACATAAGAACCCTCGGCTTGGCAGGCAGTCCTCTTTTGTTTCCTGCCACTGCAACACTCTTAGACAGCAACACTTCATAACTTGCCCCAGCTTTTCTGCATCGCGGGGAAGTCTTGGCATCGCCGTCGCTCGCCATCAGCTTGGATAATGCAAGCCAAACGGGGTCCTTTCCATGCAGAAACGTTTGAGGGCACCACGCTGACGCGTGCTGCGCTACGTCCTCGTCATCCGAGTCCGAGCTTAGATCATCAAGCTGGTGGCTGTCGCCGTAGTCGAAGCACAATTCCTCACCCGCCTAAACAAAGTCAGGAAGAGAGGGGTTTAGAGGCCTCGGTCACAGTGCCGCCTCGATGTCTCGGGCGGCCAGCAGTTGCACAGCATGTGGGCCCAAGCCCTGTGACGGGTCGATGCGGACCCGAAGATTCCTCAGCTCGGAAGTCATGTCAATGTGCCTCTCACCTGGCCTCGGATCAAGAGCTGCCAGGCGGCGCTTGCAGAGTGGCCCCGGACTCATCCAAGCAACCTGACGAGAAAAGCGAAACCGGCCAAGACACTCTGGGAGTTTCGTGTTCTATCCCCTCTCTCTGACCTGCAGGGCTGTTGAGAAAGGCGGCCACGTGCGCGGCATAGGGCCGGGGTCCACCGGTCCCCCCATCCATTGCCCACTCCTCACTTGGCCCGAACGGCAAACAGAAACCCCCTCGAGGACAGTTGCCGCCGAGCGTCGGCGTCCATGGCAAAATGGAACCGCTGGGCTCGACTCCCTTTCAACAGGCATCGCCGACGAAGCACCTGCCCGCGGTAACACCTGAGACAGCCGATAAAGCAGCTTGTAAAAACAGATACAGTGGGAACAGCTTGGCGAGCCACAGCACCAAGTCGCCCTTCCGACGCGGGTGAAGAGTGAAGACGGAGTGTCCCTGTGGAGGTACGCAAGCAAACAACCATGTCTCTCATGCTTGCTATCTTTACTATCTTTACTCAAGAAGATCACGGAAGCACCTTCACCGGCTTCCCATCTTCTCGCCGAGCCAGCGGCGTACCCACCCTTACTCCTCTTCTCGTTGCCTGCCTCACACGATGCACAGGCTCTGGCCAGCAATCCAGCTACCCTCGCTTCCCTTTCAGTGCCTGTGAATCCTCGACGCAACCCTCTCCCAGTTCTTGCCTGCCCGGAATCGCCAGATGTTCAACATCCCTGACACAACAACCAACACCTGCTGCACCTGCATCTTCGTCCTCCTTCTGCTTCTCCTCGTCGGTTGATGAACACGGATGCACCTCCGCGGCAAGATGTCTATCGAGGAAGTTGTTGATCCACGCACTTGTCCGCGCGCACATTCAGCTGCAAATACATGGGAAGAAAGTTGCTGCTGATCCTTGTAACACTCACTGACAAGCCCCACCTCCTCGGCCCACGGCAAGAACTCCCCCTCCTCCGAAGCAAACGTAATGATAGCTGCTGCACCCCTGCAAGACTGAACATGAACCCCAAGCTTGAGCCCCATATAGATATAAAAGCCCTGTGGAGCGTCGAAATGCTGCAGATCCACAAGCCCCAGTCCGGGACCTCCCTCGAGAAAAACGTCCCTCCGGCGTCCTTTCCGTCAGCCAGCACCACCAGCGGGCGGCTCTCCGCCTCTCTGCTGGGTGGCCTCGGAGTCACCACGAGTGCCGTGTCTACCAGTGGCTGCCTTTTTGAATTTAGGGGTGCAACTTTAGGCCAGGGGTCCGAAAGGAAGGGGCTTTGGGCAGATGATGGTCTGTCTGCGCATAAGTACACACCGCACGAACGTGCCAGTGTTGCGAGATGCAAGAAGTCTCTGAGGCCTGAAACGACACTCGAAGAGCCCCAGCAGGTGCACTGTCCGTCCACTACACCGTTGTCGCACGTATGTTCGCATTTACTTCTTCGTTCATTTGCTGATTTACGTGTTGACCCTGTAAAGTCAGAGACGTCGCTTCGGAGCTTGTGGAAGTCAACTGAAACGTCGAGCGGGTTCCGAAATCGCATAGGCAGACCAGGTCACGCGAAGTCAATTGCCACCCCACGGCTGTCTATCTGGACATCGACACTCCTCAGGCCATCTACCTCAGCGGGCGATTCGACGGTTGCAGTACCCGCGTATAGTGGATAGAACCCTTGTAGTAACCCGACCCTCAGAGCCCCGAGCCTCCCCAGTGATCTGCAAGTCCCCGTCGACCATGTCTCCGAGGACCCGCCGAGCCTGCAGACAAAGAAGCTGCTTGGTTTAGTTCTTTAGCTTTATTATGCGCCCGCTGCTCCTTTCCCACATGAATCATGCCAGCAGAAACTGCCTTGATGAGCAGATTTCTGATTAGAGTACTTCCAGTCTGGCCACCCAAGGTAGGATGCGGAATGTGCTTCTTTGCCAACAGCTGTGTTCTCGAGGGGACGATGTATGAAATGTGGAGGCCGCCTCGTTCTCACAATAAGACTTAGTGTAAGGTCATTGCCGAATCGTGGTCTGCCCTCGGAAAGACCGCAGTGTATTGGCAGTTAGGGAGTGTATATTGCGTGTATCTCGGGTTAAACAACCCTGCATCATAACACTCCGAAAATGCATAAACACGTGTTTGCTTCAAAATGTCAGATAGGAGAAGCAATGCATGTGTGCATATGTATATGGGTAGTTCTCTAAATTAAAGTTTGTTTTTAGGGTCCTTTTAATAAGGGTGCCGTACTATATTGGGGACCTAAAAAGGGGAGCCTAATTTAGAAAGCTACCCAAAGGCATATACCAAGTATTAGTTATATTGAACGAAGGAGAGACAACCACAAATAGCCACCATTGTTTTGCGGCGGGATACCTTTAACAAGAACACGAGCAATGATATCACTAACAACACAATTACTACCAAACAGCAGTAGTGACAGGAACAACTAGGCCCGAGGTGCTGTACTGATGCTGAGAAAGGACAAATGAACAAAACCAGAATTCAAAATTACTGGCAATAGTGGTCTCCAGAGGCCTCCTCCTGAAGCTGGGCGAAGCGGCGGTCGCAGTCGTCAAAGAGCTGCCAGGTACTGGAGGCAAAGGGCCTTCTGAGAACTACCACCTTGGATATCTCCGAAACTGTCCGGGAGGTTGTCAAAATGCTTCAGTGCCACGGGGATCGAAGAGCCACAGCACGCCTTCGGCACTCAGGTGCCAGCCAGTGTGTTGCTGCACTTCCTGTACCTTGGGCTATGCTCTGTCTCTTGGGACCCACGCCAGAACTGAGAATGCACGTCCCAGGCACACGACGCGGTTCAGCGGAGCCTGAAGGGCACAGAGCACTTGCAAGCGGAGTTTCGTTTCGTCTTCATTGCCGCTTTTTGACTTCTGCGGCCTCCGGGAGCACTCGCTCTGGAAGGTCACAGCTCCACTTCCGGCCACCCAAGCGCAGACGCAGCTGGCACGGCCGAACCTCCAACCTAGAAGAAGAATGCACGAAGCCTCCAAACTCAAAGCCAAACCTGCAAAAAATCGTAGAAGCCGGGGTGCCAATCTGGCTTTGCTTGCATCCAAGCACGGATCTCCAGCGAGCGCTCCTCATGGGCAGTTCGCTTGGCTCGGAGGGCAAAGGGGGCTAAGGGGGTTCATGTGGAGCAGCAACTCGAGTGCCTCAGCCTCTGATTCTCACTGCACGCAGCATTCAAAGCAGAAAGACAGCTGGAAAAAGGGATCTGAGGATGTGTGAGGATTGCCGGTGCACGCCCCGCCAGACTCCATCCAGGCAAGGCTTAAACAGTCTAACGGGTCCGCACTCACCGGGCTGCTTGGCAGTTCCCGTTGCTTCCTGGCGGTCCTCCTTTGAGACTCACGCACTTCACTCCTCCAAGATCTTGCTGGAGAGCTTGGTCGAAGCAGTCTGGAGCAGGATTCTTGATAGCCATCGGCCCGAATCTCGCTTCACTCGCTGCCGAGCATGTGACCCTCCCCCTCAGAGAAGCTATTGCGGATGCCGACCTCCACCTCTCAGGAAGGAGTCGCCACGCTCGCTTCGCACTCTGTCCGACTCTATCCTTCATGTCAAGAGCTTCGAGTAAACACTAACCCTGGACCTAGCGGAAACCGTAAACCCGGCGCAAGCTTTCCGCAAGCCCACCTGCTTGGACGCGTCCAGCAGAACCCAGACTTGCCGCGCTCGCGCTCCACGCTCGTGGGTCGGTGTTTGTTGGCGTCGCTGTCCAGGTCTTCCCGAGATATCACAGGCCAGGGCCGAAGGTGTCGCTGTCGTGCTTTTGCACCTCGCTTGCACGCACAAAGCGCTGAGCTCAGGATCGGGAACATTCCACCTCGGGCCTCCTCCTCAAGCAGGCTGCGGCCGGCATCCAGTCCCACACCTTTGGATCCACCCTTGGAGCCTCGGCGCTGGGTGCAGCCCTTTGAAAAGAACCCCATCTGCCCAAGTCTAGTCCAGTCAAAGGAGCCTTTGTGCCTTGGTCCCTGGTAGAAGATGAAGTCCTCCGACAGTCTCGAACACAGAAGGCAGCCGATAATATACTATAATATACTCTAATATACTATGATGTACTATAGTAGATTATAATATACTATAATATCACTGCCAAGAGCAAAGGAAACGTCCTCGGTCTCTGCGCGGAACTCTTGCCGGGTCACAAGCTTCGCTAAGAGCCCGCCGCCCAAGCGAAGCCATTCATGGCCCGTTCGGGAGACCATCTCCTTAAGAAGTGCCGAAGACATGGGTGAAGGATCCAAAACATGATAAGCACCTAGAATCCGTCTGACTCATAAGATACAAAAACCGTGCTCTTGGCTTCCGGATTAAAGAGTTCAGCTAACAGTAAAAGAAAGTTGCAGCCGTTCTGGAGGCTGTTTATACAAGGGAGAACCAATTCAAAAGGCTCGGTTTTGCTGTTCGGCGTTGGGGAATTCAACTTTCGCTGCTTCCCCGTATGCACATCTGCCATTCGAAGCTTGGCACGATTGACGACGTGGCGACTTCGCCCTGTCTTATAACCGATAGAGAAACTTCAACAATACCTTTGAGGGTGGGCTAAAGGCTTGCAATCTCAAGGCCTCCCGGTATACGATTTGAAGGCTCCGGGTTCAGGGTTTGATCGTCTAGGTGGTACGACCGTTGGCGCCAGAGTTCGCGGTTTGCAGACGAATGCGGCTTTGTGTGTGTGGTGATAGGCTGTGTTTTGAAGGCTGGTTTCCTCCATGCTTGGGCGGTCGGGTCGTTAGGCTTAGAAGTCTATGGCGTGCTCCCTTTATGTCTTCCTTCCTTCCTTTTTTCCTTCCTTCCTTCTTTCATTCCTTCCTTCTGTTCTTTCTCCCTTAATTTCTTACTTGATCCCTTCCTCGCTTTCTTCCCCCTTCCTTCCTCCACCCTTCATGTCTTCTGCTGCCGAAATTCCGGATGCTTTCGCCGGACCTCCAACACCTGCCTGCGGGCACCCCACGCACTGCAAGTTTTCCATGCTCGAAACTGAAACCTTCCTCGAGCCTGCCTGCAATGCGCCCGGCGCGCCGCGTCGAGATCCCGCACCAGGGGCTCCAGCTTGGGAAGCCCCAGCGGCCGAGCTACTCGCAGGGGCATCTCCCAGGGCCTCCAGCGATAGGTAACGAAGATCTGGCAGGAGGACAATGATACATACACAGCTTAGAGGACCGATCTTGTATACACGAAAGGGCGCCGCTCGGAAGCATGGGCTTTGCGACGGCATTCTGCGCCTGTGAATGTACTCGGTGGGGCATTCGGCCAAGAAGGGCAGCCATCGCCGGACGTAGTGCCCCTCTGGATCGCAGCTTTTGGCAGCGTTCACCTCAAGCTCATCTTTGGAAGCATATGGTGATTGAAAAACCTTAAGCCTTAAGAATATTTCCGGCGTGTAATGAGTATACTGGCCGGCGGCCAGCACCCTTGAAGAGATGCAGAGCCCACATTCTTTGCAAAGCGACACTTCGAGACATGTCGCATGAATCACACATCGGCAACAAACACGATCATGCACGGAAGTGCGTATGCTGATTCACCTCCGCCTCTGCCCCAACCGGCGCGATCAGGTAAGTTTTCAGCCACACTCCTCGAAAAAAGCAGGGTGCCCTCAGCTCCTTCAGCACCACCACAACATCTTGTGCACGGCAAGTCCAGCTGCATGTGCGTTCGAAGTCTTTACAGTTCTAATTCTAAGAGCAGTTCTCGCTGCAGTTTTCAAGATCTTATATCACCACCATCAATCATGGTTTCAAAGATGACGAGGAAGCGATCATTCCCGATTCTCACTCACTCGGAATTCTGGGCCTAGATAAGCAGAGCGATTCGGTGGTCTCTTGACTTTTAATACGGTCTGAGACTGCGTGGAAAATACTAGTAAGAACCACGCCTGATGGCATCAAGTGCACGCACCTGACAGAGTACGTAGACAACATGAGAGAGGTTTAGATGACGACGAGAACGACGACGGCTGCCACTGCTACTACATAGTACTACTATAGCATCGTCGAGAAGGCGCGCCAGCTCATCGCAACATTCGGGGAGCGATTCAATCGTAAAAAGCAGAGCGGCTGGGTGAAGTACAAACTCCCAGTGGTCAGGGCCGGAGTGGCCACCATTTTGCCACATGAAACTGTTGATTGCCACGTCTATGTCCACAAGGGTCCAGTCAAACCATTCCTGAAGCTTCACTTCCGGACCTAGCAGAAAAGACCCAAATGCACACCTTGCCTGCGTCCGCGTTAACATCGCTTCGAAAGGCTACTGGTAGTGTAAAGAGCACAGAGTGGAACAGCTGTGGCCGAGCGCTGTAGCCCAGCGTCCAGGCCGTGCTTCCAAGTCAGGTCCAAGTACTCGATGAGCGTCTGCGCCACCACCTGGGCAAAAGGCGAAGGACCAGGCGCGGCTCTGGACCCTTCAACCAAGCGGCATGGCGCAGGTAGTTCGGCATCCAGCCCACTGCCCAAAGCTGCCGCATGGCTGCATCGACAAGTGGGAACCCAGTGGAACCTGCAGGCGAAGAGCACACGGATGTGCTGGCGAGATCATGCGAGATCAGTGCCGACGGACACAGCGAGCAGGTGAGTTTCTTTTCTCAGGAGAGCGTGATCTGCCCTCTCTGGCTATGGACGAAGCTGCTCACATGCTGGACAGCACAGTCTTGGCTTGCACCAGGTTCTCCTTCTCCTCGGCACGAGCTTGGGCGCGGAGATCGAAGTGCTCAAGGAGCCAGTCGCACTCCTTGTGCAAGTTGCTCACGACCTCCTCCACGACAGTGGCCTCCTTCTTCTTGTTGGAGAGCTCGCTTTTGTCGTCGCTAAGATCGGTCTCAAGGTCTGCCTTGGTCTTCGCCTTCTCCTGCGTCAACGTCACATCTGCGTCACGCTTCTCTGCTGCATCGGCCAAGGTCTTCTCGTAATCCTTCTGGGAGTTGGCCTCATCGGACTTGGCCAACGCCATTTCCTGCTCGATGTCCGCCTGTGCCAGTTTCGACAGGGCAGGAGCACTTCTGGTCCTGAAACGTCCTCTCAACTACACTGTATGGTCACTGTGGAGAGGAAGAGGGGCCCCGGCCTTCAGCTGTGCAATCAGGGAGAAGATGCCATGGCTCTCGGACATCTTGGCCTGGTAGCCGCCCTCGAAGGTCGCTGGTGGAGCCTCCATCTTGCGGCTGGAGGACTGCAGGAAGGCATAGGGGTCGAAGGGGTTCTTTGTGGTGGTGTCCACGAACTGGCTTGGGCTGTAGAACTGATTCAGCTTGTTCTTGGCCAGATCCAAGAGCTGCACCGCCTGACCATTGGAAGCCAGGAGCTCCTGAGATTCCACAAAAGTCTCCATCACATCTCAACGGACATCACATAACCACTCTACGGCAGAGAGCAGGCAGGAGGGACAGAGAGGGAGAGAGAGAGAGAGGGAAAGGAATGAGACCCATTCCCTCCCAAATCCCCATACTATTACCATAGATGGTCAAATTTCCCCAAAAGTAACCTCGCATCATCTACCAGTAGAAAGAAGTTATTGTCCTCTCTCCTCTCCCCTTTCTCGGAAGTGCCGGGCCTGGAATTCCTCGTGCTCGGCCTTGCGGTTTTCCCCGGCCTCCGCCACGGTCTTGTCCAACTCCACCAGGCCCGCCTAGAAAAGCACCCAAGAATATCCCACACAGGGGCGACAGGTGCTTGTAGGCGTATAGAGTAGTTCATGAGAATATCCCGCAACCCCCCACAGGCTGAAACTCTGTTCTGTCTCTTTTTTGGGGGGGAGTCCCTGAGCCTGGAGGCCCTTGATCTCCGTGGCAAGCTGCGCGATGGCGCCCTTGGACTGCTCCACGGTCGTCTTGAGAGACGTGATGGCCGAGGCCACGGACTTGGTCTTCAGCTCGGCCTCGTGGAACTCCTTGCCGCAGTAGTCCTTTTTGCTCGCGTCGTCCTTGTCCTCGGTCTTTAAGAGCTCGACCATCCCATCGATCTTCTTTACGATCTTGCTGAAGTCGATCTGCGCAGGTCTCAACGTTCAGCTTTCGCAGTGTTCGGATGGTACCGTATGGAAAGTGCTCTCCCTGAAACCATCTGCAATCCCAAGCCCCCAAGTGGCCCCCGAGCCCTAAGAACCCCGCCTTGCGGCCGGAGAGTGCCAAGGCCAAGAAGTTCAGCTCCGGATGGGCCTCGCTGCGTGCCTCCAGCATCTGGGGCGAAAGGATTAGCCTAAAGCTCAAACAAGAACAAGCTGTGGCTTTCTTTGGGCTTTGGCTTTCCCGCCTTGAGCACCAGCTCCAGTGCCTTGTCCTTCTTGTTTTGATCCCCCTTGGAGAGCTGAAGGAGGCTCGCCTTGGCCTTGCTGCGGAAGAGGTCCAAGGACTCGTCGGAGTCCAGAATCTTTACGGTCTCTTGCAGAGCCGAGAGCTCCTTCTGACGAGTTGCTTGACGCTCCTCCCAGGCAGCTGCCTTGGCTTCGCAAGTGCTCTGAAGCTCTTTGAGCATCTTCTTGTCGTCTGCCAGGGACTGGCCCGCACCCTCCATGGACTTCTTCATGTTCACCACCTCCACCTTCAGCTCGCCAATGCGCTTCATCTTCCGCTCGAACTGCTCCAGAAGTGTGGAGATCTCCACCTTCTTAGAGTCCTCGAGCTCGTCATACGTGTGGATGGCTGTGTCCTCGTTCTTGTCATCAGTTGCGATCTCTTCCTTTGTGTCGTCGGCCATGCCACTCAAGATGCCCAGCACATAGCTCGGGTCCATCCTCTCCCCCGACAAGAAGGACACCAGGCGCTGCTTCTCCGAGGCCGCTAAATGTCGGTCCGCAGCACGGAGCATCGGGGCCTTCTGCAGCAGGGCCGTAGAAGATCCCGTCTTCAGGGCCTGCTCGGCCTGGGAGATCTGTTCGACCACCTGAGTGTCCTGACAACTTTGAAGATTGTGCTCCGAAGATCCTGCCCTGCCCTGCCGGCACTCGGAAACAAGAGGTACAGAAACCATGCTTTGTCAGACGTCCTCGGTGTGCTCCTCCACGTAGTGCTCGTGCCTGAACAAACGGGGAGGACGGGACGGAAAGAGAGCGAGGGAGATTGTGTGAGAGCTAAAGGAGGAAGAGGAGGAGGGACGTAACATCTGCCAGGCCACTCCTTCCCTCGCTGGACCTCTGCCGCCTTCAGCGTGTCCTCCTCGGAGATACGCTCCTCCTTGAGCTTGGTGACCTGGACGTCAAGAAAACTCCCCTAAACGAGGGCCAGCCGAAGCCTCCTTGAGGCCCCACGAACCAGCCGGTCTCGGCACATTGGCAATTTGGCCATCGTTTCTACACGCACCTCACATCCCAAGCTTAGCATACCAGCACGAGCCACCCGGTCTGCACAAATTAAATGCAGATGCATTCGACAAGCCTTTGCGGAACGTCTCTGCCCTGCTTTTCCTAGATGGCTAGCTGCCAGAACATCGACCTCGAGGTGTTTCGCCCAATCTCATGGGCCCACATGTACAAGTATGATTGTTACTATTTTACGGTTACTGTTATTAGATTTAGCATTGTTAGAATTAGTGGTGGTAGTAGTAGTAGTAGTAGTAGTAGTAGTAGTAAGCAGAAGTAGTGTAGTAGCAGGAGTAGTGGTAGTACTACTACTACTACTTCTACTACTACTACTCCTACTCCTACTTCTACTACTACTACTACTACTACTACCACCACTACTACTAACATGACTATTACTCTTAATATTGTTATCATTATTGCTGTGATTGATATGATTATCATTATAATCATGTTCCTTTTAGCAGGCTTAGGACGCGCCTCTTGCTCAAGGGCGCTGATCTCGGCCTCGCGGCCCTCGATGTCGGCCGGGGTCACCTTTGCCAAAGGGCTTCCCAGCTTTGGAGCCCAGGACTTCTGTTTTAGCCAAGCTTCGGGGTTGTACTCCTGCTGCTGGATGCTAGCCTCGAGCTCGCTCATCGTCTTCTTGCAGTAGCACTTGAACTTGTCGTAGAGGTCTTCTTCGTGTTTGCCCTCTTCTTCGATCTTCTTACCCATTTTCTCCATCATGGTGACTACCTTGCGGATGGGGTTTCCAGCATCCTCGGCGTCAATGCTGTTGAAGCTGCGAGACTTGTAGGCCACAGAGGACCCCAACAGGGCCAAGGCCAGGCTCAGTATTCGTCGGTACTGCATTGCAACTGATCTCGGCGCAGAGCACTGCGACGTCTAGTGGCGCTGACAACGTCGGGCCGCTATGCTTGAGCCGGACGCGATGGATCGCAGCTTGAGACGATCGAACCCCAAGCCGAGAAAACTCTCGCATGAGACCTAGGATCTACCACCGCCACAGCACCCACTAAGAGCGTGGGTGGGGCCTCTTTGCCAGTGCCGCAGCTGCCGGCGGGTGCCGCTCCAGGTCTGTTCCTCGTACTGCGGTCGCAAGGACGTTCGCGGCAGGCTCGGGAACTGCCACAGGAACCTGCGACTGCGACTTCCCAGAAAAAGAATGAGAATAATATGGCACCCAAAAAAAACAACTCCCAACGGCCCTCAAAACAAACGCACATTTTGGGACGTGTAGCCAATAGGACAGGTCGCGCCAGATGAAGCGCCGGAGGAATGTTGCATTGGCCTTGGTGGCCTGGTCTCGACTTCCCTGGTAACTGGCGTGCCTTCCAACATACTCGTAACCGGGATTATCGAAGAGCTTCTGATTGGTTCGCTCTCTGCGGCGCTTCGCTGCCCAGTAAACTTTTCGAGCTGAGATCTCTCCGAAGCGGATGTACGGGGAGAGCTCGGATGTGTTCCGCTCGTGGCAGAGCAGTCGCTTCCGACCTTCGAAATCACCCGCGGCCAGTACAGAGTCCAGGAAGTGTGCAAGCCGCTCGTTCGCCGCAGCTTCACCAACCTTCCACCAAGACCTGTCATAATGGCAGGGCTGCCACGTGGCTCGTTGGCAGCCGTCCGTCAGACGTTTGGACCAAAACTGAAACTTTGCATCCTCACTCGGAATATTCTAAGCCTAAAGTATTACATCCACTGTGGCTGCTGCTAGCGCAACACCAAATATTATGTAAAGGAGACCCTGCAAAATCAAAAGCGGACCGATGACTCATGTGAATTCGTAGATGGCCCTTCTTTGCCTGATGCCGGCAGCCCAATCGCCAGATTTGTGGCTGGCGCTCTGGCGAAAGTCCGGCGTGAAGCCTTGACCTGGTTAACACGTAGGAAGTGCCAAACGAGTCAAACAACTCTCACTTGTGCCACGCTGTCCAAACGCGAATATTTTTGCGCCTGAGGTCTCGCCCAGGCCCAAAGAATCCAAGTCCTCCGAGGCAACGTTTGGGCAGCGGGGCAGCCGGTCCACCGTGCCCAAGGGAAACGGAGGTGGACCCAGCTCCTTGAGAGCGGGGCGAAACGCGAGAGGCACACGAAATATGGGCACCGGCTCCTCTAGGGCATGGGAGAAGAAGCGGTAGCTGCCAAAGCCGCTGATGTGCTCCTTCGCTCGACTCAGATCTGATTACCTCGCACCAAAGCACAGCGCAGAGGGCGCTCCAGCTGCTTGGGCTTGCCGCTGGCTGCCGCCGAGTCTGCCGGAAGCCCTCGGGCCGCAGCCTCCTCCGCCCGGACCCTGGCCCGCCACCTCTGCCACCGTTCGATCGGCTGCAGATCCTCAAGTCCACAACTGTGAGACATCTTGAAAAACAGCGAGAGCGCACCCCGAGCTTCCTGCGGCTCGTAGAGGACGTTGCCGGGATAGCTCTCCACTTCGATGCCGTAGGCACGAAGCCTGCCGGCAACCTGTCAGACAACATCCCACGGAAGCCTAGAGGCCTAGAGTATCCCAGAGTGGCTTTCGGGAAGCCCCACCTCTCGGTCCGAGCTTTGGTGCCAGGGCTCGCCACGGCGGTTGAAAGAAAGCTGCACTCGAACCGTAACGGTTGATCGCAGATCCTGGAAGGAGAAGCATTGGAAAGCTTCCAGTGTGTCTTATGAGCGATTTCGGATCTCAGACTCTCTTGGCAGCGAAGTGGGCCACAGCTCCGGAGTCCCAACTCTTCAACCCCACAAATCCCAGGCCCTCGAAGCCCCCACTGTGCACCCTGAGCAGGCCCAGCTCGAGGAGCAGCCGGGGAATCTCCTGCACGGAGAGGTCTGTTTGGAGCACGAGAGAGGCGGAACAATGCACAAACTGCGGCTTTGGGAGTTTCGGACACAACATCAAATTGATGCAAGCAAGCAAGCAAGCAGGCAGGCAGGCAGGCAAGAGTTTTGAAAGACAACCGTATTGGTTCACCTGCAGGCTTCTCACGATATCTAATTGCTGCTGCTGCCGCTGCTGCTGCTGCTGCCGCTGCCGTTGCTTCTACCAGTGCAACGAGTCGCCGCAGCCGCGGCAGTTGCAGCAGCAAAAGCAGCCGGAACAACAGCAGGACGAATGTCACCGACCGTTAGTAACAGCAGCTACAGCTGCAGTAGCAGCAGCAGCAGCAGCAGCAGCAGCAGCAGCAGCAGCAGCAGCAAAAGCAGCAAAAGCAGCAGCAGCAAGAAAAAAAGGTAGCGGTGGTCCTCGTCGTCGCCGTCGTCGTCGTGGTAGTGGTAGCGGTAGTAGTCGTGGTAGCGGTAGTAGCAGTGGTAGCGGTAGCGGTAGCGGTAGCGGTAGCGGTAGCGGTGGTGGTAGTGGTAGTGGTAGGGGTAGTGGTAGCGGTAGGGTTAGTGGTAGTGGTAGTGGTCGTGGTGGTGGTGGCGGTGGTGGTGGTGGTAGTAGTTGTTGTTGCTGTTGTTGCAGTAATAGTATGCACCCCCCCCGCCCCCCAACCACCTCTCCTAAACACTGTTTAAGAGCACATCCATATTACTCGGTATTTGTAGTACTGTCGTGATGTCGTAGTCCAATACCAACCACCGCTGTTGAGGAGGGGTGTGGTGAAGCATGGGTAGGGGTGGGGGGGGGGTGTGGTGGTGGCGGCGGCGGCGGCGGCGGCGGCGGCGGTGGTGGTGGTGGTGGTGGTGCAGTTGCAATTGCCGTGGCATGCCGTGGTTTTGGGAGAAGCAGCGGTAGCTGCAGCAGTGTGCTAGCATTGAACTCCCTCCAGGCTGGCTGGCATGCCCCGGACTGAAGCATGATGTCCACTCCTCTGCAGCGTTCCCACGCCGAAGGACCTCATCCCGAAGAGCAATGAGACAAGTTCGGTTCTTACCGGGCTGGCCTGAAATCTGGACTCCTGACATGGCACGTGCTGAACCCGGCCTTTTTGCAAGCCGAACCGGATCGAAGGCCGAAAACGATCCAAAATCCACAAACCCATACACTTGTAAAGCCTAGAGAACTTGAGTTGTTCCAATTTTTCTGGCTGAGTCCTTGCTTTCATGTTCCTGCAACCAGATTCAGTGCGTGCGAATTGCATGCGTACGTACGCGAAGCGAACGGGGGACGTTAATCAAAGTTGGCTTCCTCGGCTACAGTCCCCCTACTTCGAGGTCAACTTGCACTAGATCACCTGCATCACACACACACACACACACCCTGCGTGGGAGATTAGCACATAGTTGATGGCCGCTTTACAACAGCCGGGCATGCCAAGCAACCAGGCAGCTGCCGAGTCTGTGAAGTGTGCCGGTGAAGCTCCGAAGGGATTGATGTTTCCTTTGTTGCTGGGCTTCAGAGTGCAGCTGAGGCTTTCTCATAGGAAAAGCATCCCTCGATACCAACATGGCCGGATGTTTTGAACACAGCGTTCTCACCTGTTCGGACTCGACACTGCGCTGGAAGCGGACTCAAGCGCTGCGTTGCTGCGGAGGTGTTCTAGGCAGGGCTCCAGAAACGGCCGGCACCTCGCAGCGGATGCGTGTCAGGCTCCAAGATGAAGAGCGGGAGCACAGCGTCGTATCCGCCCCGCGACGCGTGGAACAAGGCCGGATTGTCCTGGAGAAGACACCTTAAACTACTTGCCTAAACTTCCAGGGACGTGTGAGAACAACAGCGATGAGGCGATCAGCTTCACTTATTTGGCAGCCTCATAGCAATGGCAAGGATCAAATGGCACTGGTTTAAGACACCACCCGTCATCGGCTTTGCCTGTACTGCTCATGCCGGCTACATTTTCGGTGCGTCCTTGAACCTTTACACTGCAGCCGAGAGGACCACAGCTTCTTGGAGCAGTTTTTGCGCAAAAACGCTCACTGTGGGAGGTTTGCAAAAGATCCTAGCTGGATTTTCAGGTTTTGTACCCATGATCCCCGGAACTATCTACAATGTTTTGTGAAATGTCCTCAAGGCGCATATCGTCCCGCAGCCAGACGATGCAAAGACTTTTCACCTGGACCCGCAGGAACTGTAGACACGGCTCATTTTTCAACAAACTGCTGGTCCGGGGCCTTGCAAATCGCTGAGTTCAAGCTTGCTGGTCGGCTTGGGGTGGGAACGGGAACTGCCGATGGTGTGGGCCTGCACTCCTGGGCCATGTGATTTCCACACTTCCGGGCGCGTCGTCTTTTTCCCATCCCTTGGCCCACGGGCCCAAGTCCTCGCGATGCGGGTATCCACCAGTGGCAAGCAACGCGTCATCGGACGGTTGGGCAGGAGCTGTGACCTGCAAGGCTTGCAGGGCAACAGACAAGGCAGGAAGGATCCAGGCCTCCGTGACGACACCAGCGGCTGCACGTCGCCAGCGTGATCGGCGAGGCAAAACAGGATCGGCATCTGGCTCTGACTTGGCGGCTGCTGCTGGCGTGGCTGCCGTGGACGGCGCCACACGCTCCACGCAGACCATTCGCTGGCCTTCTGCATCTGGATCGGCACGGGAGGATTTCGAGAGGCCGGGAAGGCGATGGGCCAGGGAGTGCACCAATGCCCTCTCTTCCTCAGGCTCGCAAATCTCGCAACATCGGAATCCATAGAGGAATCCTGAATCTCCTTTCGTCACACAGCGCGCCTTGCCAAGGCCTCGAAAGGAAATGCGAGAGCCCACTGTGAGCCCCTCCAGGAGTTGTGTCACCGTCTCTTCACTGGCGCCATCAGGCAGATCCTTGGCAGTGAACTTCCAATTCTCCGCCAAAGCTGTAGGTGTCCACTAAGCCTACTGGTTCCTTCAGAACGAGGCTCGGCAGATGGCCAAGTTCTGTTGGCCTCGTGTACAACTGCGGCAGACGCAGTCCAGCCCAGACGCTCCTGGAGAAGCTTCTACAGGGCTCGACTTCTCACTGCTTCCACTTAGGTTGTGCTGAGACTACAGACTACAGGAAAAGCCACTCACGAAGTGGCTGCAACAAGAAGACTGGCGAAAGGGACTGCCACAAAAGCTGTTGTTCACTGCAGGCCGAATCTCCTTGCGTTGCCGCCTTGCCTCCTCCAGATACTTGCCTGCAGGGTCCTCAGAAAGCTTCGGGCATGCCAGCAGTGCCTGTCTGGAACGAGTCTGTCTGGCACAACAACAGCATATCGAGAATCAACAAGCAAACCAAACGCATCGAGCTCGTGTCACGGTCCTTCTCTAAAGCTCCAAGCTCCTTCCCATACCGTCCCATGGCGAAAAAACCAGGCGGGCCTTCTTGCTTGAACCAAACGCAGAGGAAACGCATGTCAGAACCAAGAAGGCCAAAGCTCCATGTCCCGACTGCTTTGCTCTTTTACACGAGTACAGCACGGCTACACGCCGAAATTTCCTCCACGGTCACACTGAAGAGGGGAGCCTGGAACAAACGTCAGGCTTTGGTCGGGCAAACACGCAACAGACAGCAACTGCAACAGAGTTGTGGCCTCAACAACATCATCATTCCCGGACTCAAATCCAGAGGATGCCATGGCGGCACAACAGCAGGAAAGGTCTCGAAGTTGCGATGTGGTGGTTCGACGTCGTTCCTGTGCCCTACGTTCCGGTGTGCAACGACCTCTTGAAAGTTGAAGTATCGTGCATTCATTGGATGTCCATCTTTATCATCGTACTTGTCTTGTCACCCTTGCGACAAACAAAGCACGGACAGGAATTTCTTAAGTCAGGAAAAGAATCTCTGCCGGATCGAGGTCGAGGGCACCCGTCTCCCCACCTTATTGCCGAAGAGGACATACGTAGTCGTGCCCCGTGGGCCTGGAGGGATCCAGCTTGGAAAATTGCCCGATTGACAGATGTCCGGCTCTGGAGCTGAGTATGCGACAACTGTCAAAAAGCCTCAGATTCTGAAGGAATGACGACGCCAAGACCATCCCTTCCCCGGTTTATCCGTCCTGTGTTCCCTCCTCGTCAGGCTGCCAGACTGGAATCAAGTTGGGCGGATGTTCTTCGAAAATATGGAGCTACTACGAGCTACGAGGTTTCACGGCTGAGGCTAAGAGCCTGCTTTGAGGGCCCAACGAAAGTGCGCCTTCCCTCCGAAGAGGCCCAAGGGCTCCATTCTCTCGCGAGCTTTTTTGAACCGGAGGAAATCTGCGGACTTCTCGAAACTACACATCTTTCTCCACGAGCTCCGTGTTGGACGAAGGTGAAACAGACAGGGTCTGGTTCGCCCACACCATATGCACGCACGAACTGGCTGCGGGTCTGCTGCCTTCCTCAACCAGCGACATGCCCGGAAGGTTTGCCTGCTGCTGCATTTCCCCTCAGGAATCTGACAAGGGGTAATGCCGGAAGAGTAGCCGAAAGGCGGAGGGATAACTACCCCGCAATGCCACAGGATCCTCCTCTCAGAAAGATGACAAGGTAAGTGCCGAAGGGTAGCCGGCGGCCATGCCTACTAGTTGAGGAACAACTAGTTGGCAGGGTCCTCATTTCAGGAATCTGACAAAGGGAATGTTGCACAAGGGCCGGAAGGCTTGCTTGATGATGAAAAACACTGCCCAACACTGCGACAGGATCCTCCCGGCTGGCATCGAACACAAGAACCTCCGGAGACGATCGGAAAGGTAATCGGAGGGCTTGCTTGGTAGCTGAGGAACAGCTATCCGCCAACATGGGCCGGGTCTTCCTCTCAGGCATCTGCCAAGGTGAATGTCGGAAAGGTAACCGGAGGGTTTGCCTACTAGCTGAGGAAAAGCTAGTTGGCAGGATCCTCCTTTCAGAAATCTGAGAAAGGAAATGTCGCACAAGGAACTGGAGAGCTTGCCTGATGCTCAAAG